TATTGTGTGTGAGTACATATATTTACAAAGTAAGAAAACCAATATTAACAAGAGCTGGAAGAAATAATTTGAGAGGCTTCTGATTCTAGTATTCTATGATTCATCTCTATCCTGCCATTATTGACCACATTGCCAATTTGTTCTGAAATTGTCAACTAGAAACATGGCACAATTAGGTAAACAAATCATTTCCCAAAAAGATGCTGACTCACTAAATCTCTTGTTATGAAAAAAAAAAAAAATCCCAAATTGCCAATTTCCTGATTTGACGATTACTGAGTTTCCATTTCCCAAATAGGCCAATTGACCCTTAGATTAGGTGAAACTCCCACATGCATGTATCTCTTCCCCAATCCCCACCTCCCCACCGGTCACACAGACACTCACACCCTCACACACCTTATGTGCTCTTCCTCCTTACTGGGGGACAGCGTTTTATTGAATGTTAAGACAAATTTTAGCCTGCTGCTTAAAAGAAATGGTTTTGGTTTTGGTTTCTCATTAGTGGCTGGCTTAAAGTACAATAACAAAACAATATAGGAGAGGGAGTTTTCAATGACACTGCCAAACCATCCTCCCAAACCAAACCAAATCAAACCAAACAAAAAACTGTTAATGCCCCTAATTCTCCCAATTAACATAGACGTCACATACGTCGATTATGCTTGTTCAATTTATCTCCAAATGTGATACTTGCAGCGGCCCCCTGAAAGTTTCATGTGTGCCGAAAACGGAAGAAGGAAGGCAACTTAATGTTTCCTGGGCACCACTGACCAGCCAGGCATTGAGGTGCTTCTGCATACTCTCTCAGTTAATGAACCTTCCTCCAATAATCCTTGGAGACTGGAATCATTATAACATCCCCTGTTTTACTAATAAGGAAACCGGGACTCAGAAACAAAATGCCTACTCATATTGATAGTAAGTGGCCTGGATCTGAGGTGTCTTTTGTTGTTGATGTTGTTGTTTTAAGAAAAACCAAGTCTGATTCCTGGACCATGGCCTGCTGGGAAGATACAAAATGCAACCCAAAGGGGTAGGTAGGCAGTGGGCATTCTGGAGTGTCTAGCTCTTGATAATTGCTGCAACTGATCATTATTTGGGTCATTATTTCTCTAATACTTGCTTTCCTTTTTGCTTGTAAGGTCCACAAGGGAGATGTTGTTTGTTTTGTCCATCCTTGTGTTTATCAGGGCCTCCCACTTAGTAGGTGTGCAGAAAGTCCTTGTTGACTATCTAATGCTCTCTGCCTCTCCTGCTGGCTCTCTCAGGGTCATCTCCTAAAGAGCTTTACACAAGCACAGAATAATGATTGTTATGCTCATCACTACCCTTCTTCGTCATTTTAATCTTGTGCCTAAACAATCGTCATTATCTTTTAGAAGGACATGACAGCCAGCTTTTAGCTAATTGCTTTCAAATTGATGAGGAGAGTTTTCCAAGTAGAATAATAATATATTAACAACTAGTGAATCTTTACTTATATGCTCAGTACCATAAGTGCTTTATGTGTATCCTCTTACTTAATTCTTACTAGAGATATTATCATTGTCCCCATTTTAAAGATAAAGAAGATGTGGTTTAGAGAGGTTCAGTGACTTTCCTTGAAGGAAGAATTATGAAGAACAAGGGGGTAAGAAAACAACAGAAAGACAAGCAGCTGTTCTGGGGCTGAAGGAGAGCCTGGTACCACGGGGATGGACATTTTCTTGGCCTTGGCAGCACAGCGCTCTGCTCCCTGCTTCAGGCTCTACTGGGCTCCTACGACATCAGGATCCTCTAGCAACAACCATCACCTTTACTTGTAAAATGGAAACCATTGTGTTCTGTTTCTTTATTGCTCCATAATGAGTGCCCCCAAGTGAAATGGCTTCACACAACAATGCTTTATTATTGCATGTGATTCTGAGGGCTGACCTGGACCTGGCTCTCTAGTTTTTCTGTTATTCTTGTTTTGAGTCTCTCCCGTCGTCCGATGGGACCTGGGCTACAGTGTCCTGGGTGGCGTTACTGACTCCCTTACTTCTTCCCTTCTCCTTCAAACCAGCTTCCTACATACCCTCTAGATCTCATCAGCTACCCCTGACTGCAGGAATGGATCCCTTCCTTCAAACCCTGAATTTCTCCTTCACAACTTACATCCCGTGTATGGTGTCTGGTTGGTTGTCTATCCCCATGGTGGATTGTGAGTTTCATGAGGGTAGGACCAGCCCCATTTTATTCATCTTTGTATCTTCATTGTTAAATAGAGCACCCCACCTATGTTAAGTGTGCAGTAAATATTTCAATAAAGGCATGAATGACCACTAGGAATACATCTTTTAGTGTTCAGGGGTTGTCTTTTCTCTTAAATCCCAAACATTGTTTTTCTAGGTTCTATAAAGTAAGTCTACACACATCAAATGAAGAAAGAAGATGTACTACCTGAACTATCCCAACAATTCAAATGAGGCACTTCATTCTCAATTATTTATAAATTGAAATTGGTTTGTGAATGTTATAAGATTATCTGGATAATTCTTTAATTTCTGTTCATTTGATTAGATATATAAACCTAAAAATAAAAATTCTTACATTTGATAAAGTTGGGGGTTTTTAAACCTATATTTCTGCCCATTAGCTGACACAGTTTTAGGGGAACAAGAAAAGCCATGGTCAAGTCTATGTCTGTATAGGAAGGCTGGAGGAAATGTTTATCAATTCTTAAAAAAAAATAAAGTTTCCTAGCTCCTTGGTTTTGGCACTTACAGGCTTTGCCTCCATAAATACATAAGAAGTGTTTAATGGAAATATACTGATACAAATGCTATAATCTGCCTTAGGAGAACTGGCTGTTGGGGAAACTTGTAAGACAGTGTTGCTTTGGTGATCTCAGCCTACCTACTGACTTTTTCTCAAGGGTTTTATTCAGAGAAAGCATGATATAAAAGATAAAGTAAAGCAGATCAACAGTTACTCAAACCACATTAGAAACCAGGTTTGTTGAGTTTCTTTGCTGGAGACATTTTGATAAGCATACATCATCTTTATTTTTTTTTAAAGATTTTATTTATTTATGTGAGAGAGAGAATGAGAAAGAGAGAGCACGAGAGGGGGGAGGGTCAGAGGCAGAAGCAGGCTCCCTGCCGAGCAGGGAGCCGGATGCGGAACTCGATCCCGGGACTCCAGGATCATGACCTGAGCCGAAGGCAGTCGCTTAACCAACTGAGCCACCCAGGTGCCCAAGCATACATCATCTTTAATCTTTATTTCTATTGGGGCTGTCTTATTTTCCGTGCTTCTTGCCTCTCAAAATTAAACTGTGATTATTACTTGGACACTTTTAGAGCTTATTCATTCCAATAGGAATTTTCTTTGACCTCTGCCTAGGAAATGTACTCCTAGTGCAGCTACATGAACCCCAAGTTCAACTTCATAAAAGTAACCATTTCTGTTTATCAATTTCTAATTATGAAATACCCAGCTGAGGAAGAAATTCATAAATGAAGTGCCAGGCATCTCTTCCTAACTGATCCAAAGATTTGCCTGTGCCCCCCTGCTTTTGTATGTGCTTTAATTTCACTATCTTCACTATCACCCTTTCTTCATTGTCTTCTTTCCATCTCAACAGTTTTTCCCCTTATTTCTCCAGCATGGCTGCAATTTTTCCCTCTATCCTTTGAGGATAGGGTAGTCTGTAATTTTATATCTGGTTTTGTGTAATACTTCTAATACTTATTAGGAGTGGCATCAAATGTATTCTTATATATTTGATTTGTACTTGAGGGAATTTAGGGACATTGTCTGTTTTATCTCTATGAGATCCACTGTAACTAAAATAGCGTCCAGTACATCATAAGCACTCAAGGCATATTGTTGCATGAATAAATGAGTAGAACACAAGTGAGGGTTGAAATGTGAAAATTGTCTTCTTTACCAACTTGGCAAATATGTTGCCAAACAATTTTGCTCTCAGAAAACATTGCATCATTAAGTGTTTGTCATTTGTTAACTGAACAGATTGATTTCACAGGTTCTATTGACCCCAGGAAACATTCAAAATTGAACACTCACCACCTTATATCAACTCTGAGAAGTCTAGATTAAGGGAATGGAAAAAGGATGAATATCAATTTAGGATCCACGTTGAAAGGAAGAGTCTTTAAGGTCGTGAGATTGGACCTTGAGTATCTATTTCAGTGTCTTCAGTCCAGTTTAATTTCAAATACTATTAGCCACAAACAAGGGCAGAAAGAGATTTCTCTTTTCCAGAAGTGAACTCTTGAGCCAGATCCAAAGCTATCACCTCAGATGAAAATAATATGATTTACCACAAGAAAAGTTTCCATCTCCTTTTATCCAGGGTTAGAAATAGGGGACCATGTGTAACAAGTTTGTTCAGGATGCTAATGATGCCATCAGATTCTAAGTCATAGGATGCAAAGTGATGATCTGAAGACCAAATCTGGCCCACAGATGTATTTTATTTGATCTACACTATTATTTTTTCATTGAATTAATTGCCAATATAGAAAGTCAGGAGAATGCATACAGAACCCTGGTTTTCTCCCCCACCACCCCCTTTGAAAAAGAAAAACAAAAGATACAGCAAATTGGACCCACAATCCCAAATTATACTGACAATTAGCTGGTGTTCAAGTTCAAATTCCCATGATTGGCTGCTTCTCTACCATAGTCCCCCACTGCCTGTTTTTACTCCAATACTGAAGCATTTCGATTTGCCATCCCTCATCACCCTGCACAGTTTTCTTTCTTACAGCCTGCCCACCTCATCTATTTCTTTTATCTGTCTGGGCCCTGCATGTAACTACCATCTTGAATGTCACAAATGTTGTTAAATTTCCATCTTTCTGGCTGAGAGTAAATATGCAAGTGTTCTGATTGTGGCTCTACCGTCATCATTCCAAGTCAGCTGGCTGATTCCATTCATTCCTCCGAAACTTCTGTGTGCATGTGGTCCCTAAAGAGGTGGGGGTGGGATCAGAAAAAGGATAAACTGTGTGCTCCCTTCAGCAGCACATATACTAAAATTGGAGCGATACAGAGAAGATTAGCATGGTCCCAGCGCAAGGAGAAAAAGGACAAGGTGAGTGAAAGAATCAGTTATTTCTGTGACTCTGAATAAGTAGGGTTGTCAAAAGAAGAGGAAGACTAATCTGAGTGTGTATAATACCCATGATTCTTAGAGCACATACTATGTATTTATGTATACAACTAGTGGTGTATATATATATATATATGTATATAATCACTCACAAAATCACTTATATTGTCCCCCTAGGGACATGTAAGGGGTTTTTTTCAAGTTAAGTTTAGCTATACAATTTTTTTCATCGATTTCCTTAATTTTTTTTATTCGGTTAGGTTACTTTTATTACCATAGTACCTGAATATTATAAATATAAAATTAGATTAACAGTAAAATGTATATAGCTTCTAACATATTTATACCCACAATACATTGACAATTAAATGAACACAAAATAACACAATACAAGCCAAGTGGCTAACACCAATTTAATATGACCGTTGATGGTGCTTTGCTGTAATAAGCACTAACAACTAAAGGACACTTACTGTATGATATGGGTTCTTTTGATGAAATCACACTGTACAAGTACATGGTACCTTTTCTGAAATCCTTGGGGCAAGATGTAATAGAGAATTTTGAATGTTTCTTATTACAGAAAGGGGTAATACACAATAAATGCACTAATATTTTATAGTGTAACATATGACTATTCATAGTAAATGGGATAACTAAAAACTATAAATAGACTCATGTCAGCATGGGTCAGGTTTCATACCAAATAAGTTTGTCATAAACTTATAAAAAATGGCTGGGTCATTTAATAAGTCCTACAGCCTTGAGAGAATTACTCAATTTCAATGATCTCATCCACGAAATAATTTCATTAGATGAGAGTAACTAGCCTGTGACCTGCAGCCAGAAAGAAAACAAGGATGTTTATGCATGGCCACCAGAAGTTGCAGAATAAATACTATACTTAGGATAAGTGTGTTCCTTTATTGAGTAGGTATATGGCATTTACAGTGCTACACCATAGGTTAAAACAAGGACCCAGAAATAAATGAGGCCACTGTCTGGACTCAGGGAGCTCCTGTCCAGCAGGAGAGACAGACCTGCAAATGAACACCTGAGAGTTGAGTATAAAAAGAGTGACAATACCTGTGTGTGAAAAAGGCAAATTGATGCCCTAGGGGAGATTAGGGCACACTTTCTTGGTCAGTGATACTGGTGTCAAGGAGGGTTTTGAAGGATGAATAGGAATTCACAAGACAGTGGATATTATTAAAATCGATCTGACCTTTTAGAGACAAATTTAATAATATTGTAGAGGGCACTTTAGGAGAAATCGATTCTCTTTTGATGTTTACCGGCTGAATCATTTTTGTCTCTTCTGAGCCAGGGCCCAACCCACTCTTAATGCTCTGCCGCACTGGTCATGAATGCTGAACACACATCAGTTTGTGGAATCTCTTTTCTCTTAGTAGGGAAGAACATGCAGTTCTTAGACCCTGCTTTGGTCCTATTTGCTTTCTAATATTGAAAATGCTAAGTAAACAAGATGCTTATCTATTAATTAAGACATTTGCTGGGTTCTCGAAGACATGTGGCTTCTCCACCCTTTCCCCTCCTTCCTGTAACCCCCCCAACCAGTTCCTGTCAGTGGGAACTTGACGATCATAAACCTAATTCTTTGAGGCTGTTCTAACTCTTGAACTCTTCATTGGTTGGCCTCCCTGCAAAGGAATGAGTTCATGGGAGGAATCCCTTCGGTGTATGTGGCAGTCACTGCGGGTAGCTGGGGGGCACACACAGAGGGCTCCATGGCATGGTCCGGAGTCATAATGGGCTCCACAGAAGGACTGGTGATTTGCATAAATTTAAATAAAGATTCTCTACATATCTGTTCAGCAAGTATTGATCAGAGAGACAGAAAATTACATGGAGACTGGACAGGGAAAGAAGACCTTGGAGGCAGCCCTCAACCTCTCCCTGGATATTCCCAGCAAGCCGCAAACTTGCCCTCTCCCTATTGCAAACACAAGGCCCTCCGGAGAAATGGGACCACACTTTTTGGAAGGCCATTTGGTGATCATCTAATGTGACTGTACATGTCCCTTGCAAATCCTACCCCTCATCCGCAAGTGGCTCTTGGAATAAATGTCCACATTTAGGCAGGAGACTGCTGACTCCCTGAGGGGAATCCAGGAGAGCAGAATTGTCTTCTTCTTGCACCACACACATGCAGTGCCATTTGGGTGACCTTTTCCATTGGCACCACGCTGCCATCCCTAGGGATCAACCCTAATCTCTCCTAGAATTTTAGGAAGAGGGCTTCAGAAGACATAAAGAACCCCACGTTAACATTACTATTCTGAATCAAAGCAGGCTCATTCCCAAACCCCAGTAAATTATTTCTGAAAAGGGAATTGTGAGGCTGATTTGCTGACTGATGAATCCCTTTCAGATTGGATACCTTGCTTGTGCTAGTGACAGAAGGATGAGAACATCAGCATCCCTGACTCACATTCTGGATTTATCACTGGGCATTGCGGTTTGACTGAATTTCCAGTGTTAAAATGGCAGTTGCCTCATGGTTTTCCCCGTGTTCACTTTAAGAAGCTCAGCAGTGTGATACGTCAAGTGCCAATCCTGCCCAAACAGTGTGGTTTAGGGGCTCAAGTGATTGAAAGACAAGGGGGGGTTTCCTTGGTGACACATTCATGTTCCAGCTAACAGAGGGTCTGGAGAGCTGGTGTGGAATCTGTAACTCAAGGTTTGTGTTTTAGCATCTCCATCAGTGATCATCTTCCCGCTCACATTATAGTTTGTGTTATGGTTCCCTTCACCACATTCATACCTGTCTGTGCAAAAGGCTTGCATAATGCAGAGTGTGGTTTAAAATGTGTGAAAACTTCATCCAGATCTTCGAAGCTTGCCTTGTCTTTGATCTCAAAGCCAGTCAAGGAGAGCAAGCATGTCTATTTCTAATTCTAGCTGTATGTAAGCTGGGGAGAGACACATCATTGCAAAGCAAAGCTCTAGAGAAAAAAAAAGAAAGATAAACTTTCTTTACAGTACTTTGTCTCGCATTTTTCCAGTTTAAGCATGTTTTCGATCCAGAGTGGTGTAAAATGAAGAAGACAAGGGTGGGGGTGAAATAATAAAAAAAGCCTGAAGACTTTATTATTTCTGATTGGGGAAAATGCAAATATAACTCGACTCCTCTGTGTCACGTTGTTTCATATGTACCTACCCTGAAATGCTGTGAATGGGGAAGCAGGATTGTTCCTCAGGGCTCTGGAGAAGTCTGGGGTATGATGTGGGATGAAGAGGGGCGCTAGAAGATAAGTAGAAGATGTTTTTGGAGATGTATGTGGCAAGGCCAGGTAGTGGGGAGTCTTAAGAGCTTCAGCCTGAAGGAGTTCAGTTTTATCTTGAAGGTAGAGGGAAAATATTGGAAGGGTGACACTTAAAAAAAAACAACCATTATATATGTGTGTGTGTGTGTATACATACGTATGTATACATATACAATGATTATTCTGCCTTTCAATATAACACTGTCTCAGAAGTGTTTTCCATATTTATACAAGTATAATTTTAATGCTAGTCTGCTGAGAAAGCTTACTTTAGTTCCTCAACTGCTAAAATTCATATCATTTCATCATATATTTTTAATTACTCATTTACTTCTCTATCCATCCAGACTGTGGTGCCCTTGGAGTCAAAGACCCAGTCTTCTTTGCACTTAACCTTTATCATCTAGAATAGAGGTTGATATAAATAGAAGAAAAGCCAGGCATCTTCCCACTCATATCTTCCAAAGGTTTTGAGGATTCTCTTTCAAATATTTCGGGCCTTTCCCCTTTGCTTCCTTAAGGTAGTCAGCTCCTATGCTATCCTCAGCCCTATATATATTCAAGCAACAAACTGACCAGTTTAAATAAACTCCAAGATTGGTTCTGACTTCTAACCACATGACAGGTGTGTAGCTAAGAATTTGACATACAGAAATGAACCTTTCTGTCCCCCCTACTCACACAGCGCACAAACTGTGTGCAAATGTAAATCTGATTCACGTGATTAAATAACAGGCTAGCAGTCTGGTCAGTCAATTCAGTTTTACCTGTCTGAATGTATTAGTCCAACTTTACAAGAGATCCATCTTTGATTTTCTTGTGCCACGCCCTGGGGCTGATGCAGAGAGAGTGTATCTGTGTCAAGGTGAAATCAACTGCCTTCCTTACAAAAAAACAGGGAGTTGTCCATGGCTTCTTCTAGTCTTCCTTCCCATTTTTTTCTTTTTTTCACAACACTTGCTCAATCTGGGCCGCCCCCAATACAACAGAGGGTAACTCAGTCTGTAAGGACCAAACCTAATGTCTCCCAGGATCCCATGGAGAAGTTTCCAAAAACAATAAAGATCCCCACATTTCTGGCTCTGAATCAAAGCAGACTCACTCTCAGGTCCCAATATATTCATTCTGAAAAAAGAAAAGCCACACCAGGAAGAATTGGTAAAAAAAAATTTTTTTTCTTGCTCAATTTACAAGAACTGAGGAGATGTCTATTCCAAGAAAGAGAAAACAAAGAAGAAAAAAAAACCCACAAGCTGTTGGAGGCATAAATGATGATGCCTGGAGAAAGGAGACATAAAAATTAATTTTTGCCCTGGCAAAGGATGAAGTTAATAGAGAGAAGAGAATCTAAGAAAGGGAAATTAAAGCCAACATGCTTCTGGCTTCTTGAGAATGCCCCCTGAGTCAACTAATTACCTGCGAGGAGATTATGGAGCGAGTTGTCTGAACTCCTCTCACTTAGCAGGGGAAAAAAAAGGAAGAACAACCATGTGACTCTATCATGAGGGCTAGAAATTAGCTTGGGAAAAAAATTGCCAAGAAAGTGGGAATGGAAGAGAAACAAAGAGTAATAATAAGCAGTAATAAGCCAGCTGCCTTCAACAGCAATCGCTAAGCTGGCTCATGGAATCATGGTCTGGATCCAGAACATACCTGGGGATTTCTTTTCTTCCTTCCTCCTTCCTCCTGTTCCTTTCTCCTTTCCTCTCATCCAAAA